GCTGGGAGTGTCTTGATGTAGGGACAGTGCACGCTAAAACTTCGGGTGCAGCGGGTGATTCTCATCATCGAGCATGCCATGACTCGGGTGTTAGGTAGCTGTAATTGCTATTCTCCCATGCGACCAACAATTTTTTCGTCAGGGATTCTGCTAATCCTAGCTATCGTGCTAATAAACCTTCTTAGCTGCGTCGAGTCGTATTTCATGCACCTTCATGTACGGCCATCATGTCGATTCTCTGCCACCTTATCTGGTTGTCAAATTATTGTATGAAAATTAGACCTGCTAAATTTGTATCGTGATATCATTTAGAGTGCCGCCCACAGCCTGCATAAAGAGGTACAGCAATGGTCCAGCAGAGAAAACGACATCGTGGCTGCAGCGAAGCGAATGGCTATCCTGATGGCAAAACTCAGTCAGCTCGTTAGGTCTGATTGACGTGTTTGTATGTTATCGATACTTATTGGTCAGTTACAGAGGTGAAGGGGGCAGCAAGAAGGATTTGATCGACTGTGCCAAGGCGATCGCGGACGCATCTGAAGAGGTTACGCGCTTGGCCGTGCTTTTGGCTCGCCAGTGTACGGATATCAAAATGCGGAAGGTATGAATCGTGCCTTGTTTCTGTGCTGTGCTGTTCTTAGCTTCCATGAATTCAACGACCGTACCCAAAAGTACGGTTTCCTTTTGTGCCACATTGGTAATTTCCGAAAGCAGTTTCCCAGGCATGTCCAGATGGTCATCTAACGATGCTTAGGCTGTTATGAAATACCTGATCACGTCGGTTCTAACAGAATGAATATATGATGGAACATTGTTTGCTATTGTAACGAATTTTTAGATCCATGGTTCGAGGCACAAAACAGAGCAGATGTTCAAACAGGTTTCGCTCTTAACTGGTTTAGGAGTCATAGCGCAAATGTTAATGCTAGCAACAAATCAGCTTATGATCATAGAATCTGACAACGGACAGAAATAGAACACTTTATAAATGACATGAAAAAGCGTGATTGGTAGAACTGAATCACTTATGGCGTCAGTCTGGATGTTCGGTTCAGGATGGCGATGGTCCCAGCTTTCGCCTGTCACGATGGGACTGGAATATTCGTGTCTGACAGAATATGAATGCCAATCTTATATCAAACGACCGAGTCTTGAGTGGTCTGTGTAAAGTGCAGAATCGCTGCCTGACGGTGGCATGTTGGACAATACCAGATCTGTCAAACTGCCTGAGGCGAACTGCGGATGATGGTGGTCTTCGCTGTCGACTCTCTAGGCGACATTCTGCGCCTTCGCTGTGTTGCGTTGCTGGCAAGGCACTTTTTAAATATGAGCATTAACTGCTCCTGCCAGCTTTTCGGTAGATTGCAAACGCCGTGTTATTGAAGTACTTTTGATTAACTTGTGTGCCTGGAGTATATGTGGCAGAATTGCGTTCGCTAATCTATGGGGCGACAGTTTTTATGTGCTGGGGTGCACAAGTTATGTTCTCTGTCGATAGTCTTGCTGGAATATCCTATAGAGGTATCATTTCCCATTATGGCGAAAAGTCAAATAACGAAATATGATATCTACGATTTACATCAGTAGAGAAAGTAGAATAAATGAACACGACTGTGCCGTAGTAGAACACAATGTACTAATGAAATACCTTATGCGATTGCATATTTAGCACAGTAGTTCCAAAACAGACCATCCACAAAAGGGGACTTTCTGGAACAGCTGTCACAGCGAAGCTAACCCCGAGTAATAGGAATGGACATGAGGAAACCTATGTGCAGTCAGCTGAGCATAGGTGCATTTGTAATCTTTTTCACGTCTGATCCCATAGATTCACTTTCTGTAAATAGAAGTTCCTAGTCTAATCTACTTTATTCATGCGTGAAACCCTCAACACGGCGTTAACACTGCCTATCATTAGATTTTTGCGAAAGTACGATTTCAGTACTGATCAAGGCTGGTCATGCAAGCGGGAGGATCAGGTATCTCCCCCAAGTTTTATTGACATTACAAAACTGTTGGAGTGTCGTTGCTGATCTTTCTGTGTTATCAACCGTGATTTTCCTGTCTATGATTAAGGACTAAACATGCTTAAACAGTGGTGGAAAAAATTTGGTAAATGTCATCATTGTTTGTGCATCTTCGCGTAAAATGAATGTCTTACACCCTGACAACTACTTCTGGAAGGCATGCCTATTAATTTTAAAGAAAATCGATTTATCAAAAGCTCCTTTTGTTCAGTCTACTAGTACACTACCTTGTTGATAACAAGGCCTCGAAAGACTACTTTTGCATGCTGACTTCGTGGAGCGATTCATGAAAGATTCTATGAATTTTGTTCGTTAAGCACAGCAGTTGCCACAGCAGTTTAAGTTTAAAGATAAAAAGTTTGATTAATATATCTTCGTTTTAAATAACTTTGGTACTGTTAAAAAAATGAATCTACAGAAATTACGCATATTTGACCTGGTTTTGTCGACCCTGTCTTGACTCGTAATAATTGTTCGGTTAAAAATAAGACACAGAAGTTTTCATAATCAGTGTCAATAACTTAGATGATCTCGTGCCCAGTGTTGACTTTATTTCCATTGTTTCAAGTGGTTTTGTTAATCAGTTCTCCTGTAGTTTTGAACCTTGTGGTGCTACTACCACAGATCATCTCATCGGAGCAGGCATATGTCTTATCGACAGTTGTATGTTATGTGGAATTGTTGTTTACAGCAGCGTTTGTTTCAGGCGTTGTTACAAGTGTGTGAACGAATACCAACGATCGCGACTCAGTTGAAGATTCTGTCGACAGTGAAAGCCACGATGCTAGGATCACAAGGTAAAATATACATCCTTGTGGCGGTAGACTGCTAAAAGGCTCGAAGGGCCGAGCTAACCTGTTAATACGAGCACTGCACTGTATCTATTGCCGAATGTCCCTACAGTTGAACAGGCGAGGTTGCACATATTTTGAAAAATGCTCCCTCCCGATCAAAAAAAATAATTCTGTAGGGCAGATCGACCCTGAGAATGAACTGATTTGTTCTTCTTTCAAACATCGTACCACCACCATATTCGTATAGTTTCCTGTGCGCATGTAGCAGATCTCTAAAGTGCTCTGCTGCGAGGCGGATCCAGTTCCTCGGCGGCTCAAATGTGGTGATAAAGGCATACCACTGCCTTTAGGTAGAAGCTTTTACCCACAAAGCAGTGTACGCCGTATGCTGTTTGCCCTGCAGTCAATTCCCTAACAACATATACATGCAGCGTACAACTGGCTATCCCGATAGTCGCTGTATCCGCAAAAGACCGAGTGCCTCTTTTGTAATGTATAAGGATTATTGGAGCAAGTCATAACACACGTTCCAGCATTGCAAATGGGGCTCCATTATGACTGACATTGACTTAAGGATGCCGCGCCTGGGCGTTTATTCCGGCAGTAGTTTATACATGCTCGTCAGAGGTACCATTCATACAGCAAAACACTCGCAGCCTGCCAAATGACCAGTTGTCTAACGAAATTGTCCGGCATATGTACGAGCAATAGGGGATGGTTTTACTGTCACATCTTTATTCTGGTTGTTTATTTTACGTCATTGGTCTCTTTGAATAGCTTCCCTTCACATTAACAGCGAGTCGCCGCAACTAGAAACGTTTCGCTACGACTCAGGCTTAAAACCGTCATTTTATTAGCGTCATTTCTACTGTAAACTTTATTCAGTGTTTTCTGGCTAATTCTTCTCGTGGTTTCTTTATAACGGTTGTGGGTGAATTTTATGTTTTTCCTGTTGTGTGGTTTCTGCTCATCTGTTAACTCGTGTTTATCTTCAGCGATTATGCATTCAAGATAAAATCCTTTAAACGGTGGTTGTATAATTGTAGTTGATCTCGTCGTGATTCCGATTTCGGTGGAACACAAGACCCCGGTCATATTGAGTGTTTTTCACTTTACATGGTACATGCCTAAAGATGTACTGATTCAGCGTAACAGTTTTAACTCTGAGTTTGTTCGTTTCATTCAACGATTACATCCCTTCATTTTACCTATCATATCTGTGTATGCATTCAGTTTCGTTTTCTACGAAGATGCATCGCAATTTTGGATCCGAGTCATTATACAATTCTGTTGTGACTTACGGCCGAATTCCGAAGTTGAAACCCCACCTGTTGCAAATTGCATGTACCTAAACCTATATCTCCACCCATTTGTTTCGTAGGCCGCTTTTTACGCACATTTCTTTACTGACGTGTCTCACGCAAGTGGATGTTAAGTTGTAAACCTGGAAACTTCTATTCGACGTAGATATGCCTCTTTGCGATGAAGAATGTTATTACTGTATAGGATTAAGGTGAAGCATCATTTCTAGTCATCATCATCATCATCATCTTCCATCTACGCTTCTCCTTTCGGGTCGCGGAGGCAGACGCGTCAGACAATGCTTCCAACGTTCCCGATCCTGTGCCAG